CATAAACCCTAAAGTTGAAGATAAATTCAGAGAATTTCAAATCAGACAAGAACATATTGTCTTCTTATGAAACCAGATAACATGTGATGTGTATATATATATATATATATATATATATATATATATGAATTCATGGGGGAAATGATCTTAGCAGCATAAGAATGTCTTAAGATGTGTTTCTTGACTCATGAAATAATGGTGGAGAGAGCTGCTGCTTCTTATAATATATATATATATATATGTTATAATATTGACTTCACAGGTATCTGCTGCTTCTTTCTCCTTCATTGCATGTGTTTCTGCCTTTTTTAGGGTTTCTCAGGTTTCATTATTACATACACATGTACGTATACTATATATATATATATATATATGTATATTGAGTTTAAAATTTGTATTTTAAATGATTAAATCAACTTTGGAGAAACTCCCATTACGTATGTACAGTAGAAGATGTCAGCTTTTAATTAATTTTGTATTTCGAAGATCATTCTGATGCCAATATATACATATATATATATGGTATATATCTATTGATCTTAAATAAATATTTATATTTATTACTCTGCAAGCATTATACCAAAAAATGGTATTTGTTTTAAATTTCAATAATAATAAATAGTATTTAATTAGTAAATTTTAGAATAAATTTTTAAATTACTAAATTAATGATATTTGATTGAAATTTTATTTATTTTTTATTATATTCCTATTTAATTTAATTAATTTTATATATTTTAATAATTAAAAATTTATTAAATTAATATAATAATATAAATAATTATTATTAATTTTATTAAATATAAAATTTTAATTTACTTATATTTAACAATTATTTATTTAAATATAAATATAATTATATTGATAAATAATTTTTTTTACATACTTTTTTTATATTATTTACTATTACATATAATATGTAAAAGTAAATTAATAATTTAACTAAAAATACAACCATACCATCCTATCATATAAATAAAAATATATTATTAATATATATTTATATATTATCATTCAAATATAAAAAATTTTTATCATTACAATTTTATATTACTATTATTTAATTACTAACATTGTAACACCCAAATGAAAATAAATATTTTATTTATTTATTTTTATTTTTATTTATTTATTTGAATTTTTTATTTAATTTAATTTAATTTAATTCAATGAAAATAAAAATAATAATAATGATAAAATTGGGTAAAAATATTATTTGGATTTAATTGAAATTGATTTTGGGAAAAAGTGGTGAAAATTTGGATTCTGGGGGTGTTTTTGAAAAGAAAATCGGAAACCGGGGGTCAAAACGCAATTTAAAAAAGTTGTGCCACGTCAGCACCACGTCAGCGGCCCGGTCAGCAGTCCCGGCCAACCAGAACGCGCCGCGTGGCAAGGCAACGCTGACCAGGGAACGGGCCACGTGGGCGATCCGCGTGAGCGCGATCAGACGGCCCAGATCCGTTCCTACGCACACGGACGACCCAGATTTAATCCCAATTAAATCGCAATCGAACGGCCCAGATTCAATCTTGATGGACGGTCAAGATTAAAAGGCAAAGGGTATAAATATCCCCACCCACACCTGACCAGAGAAACCCTAGCCGTCAGTGCTCGCCGGAGAAGAAGAACCAGACGCCGGAGGAACCGGCCGCCGCCACCCGCCGCCGCACTGGGGAAGTTTCCGACCGCCGATCGAGGTAATTTTTCTCCCCCTTGCTCGTTTTTCGACGCTGAGTCCGCCTATGGCCAAATCGGAGCCAAACCACCAGCCAAACGGCCGAAAAACTCAGCCAAAACCTAGCGGTGCCGCCGCGCCCCTCCTCGATTTTTGCCTCCGATGAGGCCCTTCCCGGCCTCCGTTTGATGCAAATTTTATACCACTGTGATCACCGTTCTTTTCTCTACAGGTTGATCGGAGCCAAACATCAAAACGCGACTCACGCCGGAGGAGTCGTCACACCCGAGAGCACCGCCGCTGGTAAGTTTTGATTTTTTGTGATTTTTCGGCCCACCGAGGACCATAGGGTTGTCCTATCGTAGGGACCGATGCAAGCGTGGCCGAATTCGGCCGAAAACGACCAACCCGAGGCGAATCGCCGCCGCTTGCGGCGGCGCCGTCGCCGGAGCATGGCGGAGCCGCCGTGCCAGAATTACGATATTGGCCGAAAGGGGCCCTATGTCTAATTTGGGATTTTTTGGGACACGTGCAGGTACCAGTAGTGCGTTTCAGTTCCCCGGAAAAAATTCAGGGAAAATTAGGGACAGCCTGTAGGCGCACTGTAGAGTCGTATTCAGACCCCGAAACAAGTAAGGATTCCTCACCCTATTTCCTATCACGGTATTAAAGTTCAATAAATGATAAAACGGTATTTCATGAATCAATAGATGTGTGAAATGTTAAGGTCGCTAA